TGAGACAGAGTCTGGCTCTATCGCTCAAGATAGAGTGTAGCGGCTCAATCTCGGCTCACTGCAACCTCTGCCTCCCGGGTTTAAGTGATTCTCCTGCCTCAGCCTTCCTAGTAGCTGGGATTACAGGTGCTCACCACCTCGCCCTGCTAATTTTTGTATTTTAGTAGAGATGGGGTTTCACCATGTTGTCCAGGCTGGTCTTGAACTCCTGAACTCAAAATGATCTGCCTGTCTCAGCCTCCCAAAGTGCTACAGGCATGAGCCACTGCATCTGGCCTCCAACTTCTAACCATTAAAACTTCCATAAAATAATGAATTTGGCTCTCCTTTCCTTTCATATTAGCATTGTTTGGCTTTGATTAATGTACTAATACTCTCCATGATAACATTTAGAGAATATCTCCGTAAGTTTATATATTAATAGAGCTAGTAAGTATATTAGGAGCTAAGCATCTAAAAAAAACTCAGCGCATAAGGAAAATAGGTAGCAATGGATAACAAACCTGGTACAGAGGAACTTCCAGCCATCACAGACAAACCATTCCAGTCCTCTTTTCCTTTGCATTATCCTGGCTCGTGGTAAGGTGTGGTAATCACTTTCCTCATTCTCAAAGCCTTCTTCAGACATCATTAGTGGCATTTCATCCAAATGTGCAGACTCATCCTCCAGTTGGTACCTAGTTAGGGTGAAAAACAGAATGCTAAGACAGGCCAAGCTGTCTTCTTTACAGGTTAAGTGTTTCGTTTAGGGACAATATCTCCTCAAATTAAGCTGTCTTGAGCTGAGGTAAAGCATTATAAATAAGACTGCAGAGGCTGCTTTCTTTTGCAAAGGAATAAGTTAGCTAAGGTAAAAAAGCTGCCCAACAAGGCCTGTGCTAGCTGAAGAAGTCTCTGTTAACCATGCTGTGAGCGTAATCCTGGAGGCATCTGTGCTGCAAATGGCCAGCCTGACAGCACAGGCAATGCTGCTCAATATCTCCTCATTGCACTCAATCCCCTCAGAAAAACAATCTTCTGAAACATGACTATAGCAAAGAATGTTCACTCCAAGCAACATCTAAACACTATGCTACACAACTACATCAACAACCAACATTCTAGCGTCTTTCAACAATACGTAGTTGTCCCTATCTGAAAGGAATCAACATGATCCCTTGGCTTGCTGAAAGAATTGGTATCTTTGGGGATATTTATGTCCCATTTAGTCTCTGTTATTCTCTTTACTAAAACTTGCTATTCAATGAAAACATCTCAACAACCTGCCATTATCCCAGAGGAACCCACGAGTTGGTTTTCTTACTTTTTACATTGAGACAATGCCTCCACAAACGCTTAATGCAAAATTTTGTCTATGATCCCAGTAATGTCCTTTGTAGCCTGTTTTCCAAGAAACAGGCAGCCTACCATCAAAACTTTTATCTTTCCTCAATCACAAACGTAATTTAGCTTTAAAAAATATCAACTTATCTTTTTGAGTTTAGAACTTTTTTGAGAAGAACTTGTCAGAAACTATAATGGTGATTCAACAGTGCTATCTTACTGAATTTTGAAGAGTTAAAAGAAAAGAACGGTCAACTCAGAAATCTGTATCCAGCAACAACATCCTTCAGGAATGAAGGCAAAATAAAGATATTCTCAGATGAAGGACAACCAAGAGAATTTGGTTGTCAACAGATCTGCCCTGAAAGAATGCTAAAGACAGACTTCAGGATGGAGAATATGATACCAAAGAAAACATGGAACTTCTAGAATGAAGGAAGAGCAACAGAAAGTTCCTTAAAATATGTATGAGTATTAAAAATAAAACGTATTAAACTGTCAGATTGTTTTCAACATAAACAGATGTGAATACATATAACAAGCCTAACAGGGAAGAGTAGGTGACTCTATAGCTTACATGAGGTGATAAAATACTAAAAGTGGACAGTGAAAAGTCAGCCATATATATTATAATCCTTTGAGTAGGATTTCCCAGCAGAGGCACATTAACATTTTGGGTCACAGAACTCTGTTGGGGTGAAGCTGTACTATGCACGTATTTACTCCACAGTGTCTCCGGTCTCTATGCACTAGATGCTAGTAGCAGCGCCACATTCGACCCTTGTTGTAGCAATCAAAAATGTTTCCAGACATTGCCAAACATCCCCTGGAGCACAAAAATCACTAACTAAAGGAAGTACTTTAAATATAATGGTATTTAATGTTAAAAGATTAAAAGTAAGAAAATGAAAAAATAAACAGTTAATCACTGCATAATGACGTTCTAGTCAACAATGAATTGTATATAAAACAGTGGTCCCTTTATAAGGAAGCTGAAAAATTCCTAACACCTAGTGACATCACAGCCATAATAATGTTCACAGTACAATGCAATACTCACATCTTTGTAGTGATGCTGATGTATACCAAACCTATTGTACTACTAGTTATATAAAAGTCTAGCACATACACTTATGTATAGTACCTAATACTTGACAATCATAACTAATGACTATGCTATTGGTTTAGGTATTTACTATACTATACTATCATTATTTTAGATCATACTCTATTTATTTTTTGAAAAGCTAACTGTAAAACAGCCTCAGGCAGGTACTTCAGGAGGTATTACAGCAGAAGACATTGTTATCGCAGGAGATGACAGCTGTGTGTGTGTTACTACCCTCCAGTGTGACAAAATGTGGAAGTGGAAGATAGTGATATTGGTGAACCTGACCCTGTGTAGGCCTAGTCTAATATGCATGTGTTTTAGTTTTTAACCAAAAAAAAAAAAAAAAATTTTTTAAGTAAAAATTTAAAAAAAATAGAAAAGAGTAAATAGAATAAGAATATAAAGAAAGAACATATTTTTGTGCAGCAATATCTTCATGTTTTAAACTGTTATTACAAGAGTCAAAAAGTTTTAAAAAATTTATAAAGTAAAAAAGTTACAGTAAGCTAAAGATTAATCTACATGCTCTAGTCCTGTACAGGTATATGATTTTTTGTTTTATACTGTATCTTACTATGTTTAGTATGCTTAGATACACAACTGTGTCACATCTGCCTGCCGTATTCAGTACAGTAATATGCTGCACAGGTTTGTAGCCTAGGACCAACAGGTGTGCATTAGGCTCTACCGTCTTGGTCTATGTGAGTACGCTCTAGAATGGTTGCACAACATTGCCAAACACATTTCTGGAGTACAAAACTCAATATCAAGAAAAAGTATTTTAACTATTAAAATATTTAACATTTAACATTTCTCAGAATATCACATCCACATGTGACTGTATATAATGTGAACACTAATCAAAAGAAAGCCAAGTAGCTATATTAATATAAGCCAAAAACATCAAAAAAAGAACTGCCTAGCACAAAGAGAGACATAACACAATAATAAAAGGATCAAATCACCACTAAGATCTAAAAGTCCTATATGTGTATGCACCTACCACCAGAGCTTCAAAACACATAAAGCAAAACTGATACAAGGGGAAGGAAAAATAGACAAATCCACAATAGTAACTGAAGACTTCAAAACTCTCAGCCCACTGTGACCACTGTTACTCAACATGGTACTGGAAGTCCTAGCTAGAGCAATCAAACAAGAAAAACATATAAGGGGAATCAAAATTGGAAAGGAAATAATCACATTATCCTTGTTTGCTGCTGCTATGAATTTATTTTTGCAAAAACCTAAAGGCTCCACAAGAATACTATTAGAACTGATCAATTCAGTAGTTGCAGTATACAAAATCAACATACAAAAACCAGTAGCATTCCCATATGCCAAAAGTGAACAATGTGAAAAAAAAACTAAAAAGCAATCCCATTTACAATAGCCACACATAAAATTAAATACCTAGGAATTAACCAAAGAAGTTAAAGTTCTCTATAATGAAAACTATAAACACTGATGAAGGAAATTGAAGAGAACACCAAAAAACGAAAAACAATATTCCATGTACATGGATTGGAAGAATCAATATTGTTAAAATGTCCATACTACCCAAATCAATCTATAGATTCAATGCAATCCCTATCAAAACACCAATGACATTCTTCACAGAAATAGAAAAAGCAATCTGAAAATTTATATGAAACTACAAAAGACCCAGAATAGTTAAAGCTCTCCTAAGCAAAAAGAACAAAACTAGAGGAATCACATTACCTAACTTCAAATTATACTACAGAGTTACAGTAACCAAAACAGTAAGTTACTGGCATAAAAACAGACATATAGGCCAATGGAAGAGAACAGAGAACCCAGAAACAAATCCACACATCTACAGTGAACTTGTTTTTGACAAAGGTGCCAAGAACATACACTGGGGAAAAGACAGTCTTTTGGTGCTGGGAAAACCAGATATCCATACACAAAAGAAAGAAACTAGACCTGTAACTCTCACTACATATAAAAATCAAATTAAAACGAATTAAAGGCTTAAATCTAAGACCTCAAACTATAAAACTATTACAAGAAAATACCAGGGGAAATCTCCAGGACATTGCTCTGGGCAAAGACTTTTTGGGCAATACCCCGTAAGCACAGGCAACTTAAAGCAAACGTGGACAAATGGGATCACATCAAGTTAAAGAGTTTCTGCAGAAAAAAGGATATAATCAACAAAGAGACAACCCACAGAACGGGGGAAAATATTTGCCAACTACCCCTCTGACAAAAGATTAATAATTAAAATATACAAGGAGCTCAAACAACGCTATATGAAAAATTATAATAATCTAATCAAAAACGGGCAAAAGATCTGAATAGACATTTCTCAAAAGAATACATACAAATCACAAACAGGCATACGAAAAGGCACTCGACGTCACGGACCATCAGAGAAATGCAAATCAAAATTACAAAGAGACATCAACTCACCCAGGTTAAAACAGCTTATATCCAAAGGACAGGCAGTAACAAATGCTGGCAAGCATGTAGAGAAAAGAAAACTCTTATACATTGCTGCTAGGAATGTAAGTTAGCACAACAACTATGGAGAACAGTTTGAAGGTTCCTCAAGATACACTGACTACTGTATGATCCCGCAATCTCACTGCTGGGTATATACTTAAAGAAAATCAGTGCTATCAAAGAGATACCTAATTCCTACGTTTGTTGTAGCACTGTTTACAATAGCTAAAATTTGGAAGCAACCTAACTGTCCACCAACAGATGAATGGATAAAGACAATGTGGCACATATACACAATGAAGTACTATTCAGTAGTAAAAAAGAGTGAGATCCAGTCATTTACATCAACATGGAAGGAACAAGAGGACATTATTTTAAGTAAAACAAGCCAGGTGCAGAAATATAAATATCATGTGTCCTCATTCATATGAGGAAGCTTTAAAAAAAGTGTAGATGATGCTGATAAGAGGCTGGGGAGGGTAGCACAGAGTAGGGGGCAAAGAAGAGATGGATAATGGGTATAAAAATACAGTTAGATACAAGGAATAAAATCTAGGATTCAGTAGCACAACAGGGCAACTATAATTAAAAGTAACTTATTGTGTATTTCAAATAACTAAAAGAATGAAATTGGAAAGTTCCTAACATAAAGAAATGTTAAATGCTGAAGGTGATGGATATCTCTGTTAGAAACAAATATTCACTGCCGCAAAAGAAATTTAGCACTTGAATGTAAGTTTTCTCAGCAAGGCAATTTAGTTCTACAGAAGGGTG